CAAGTTATTGTAATAATCATAACCTTCACTTAAGATTGAACCTAAAATCTTTCATCTCTTCATGAATTGGTAACCTTAATTTCACATTTCTGCAGTTGACCTAATTGGCAAAACTTGTATGTTCAAATCTTTTATTAATGTAAACCCACAAAATATATTTCAAAGGAGTAAAATATAAGCAAACAAAACAGACATAAATTTTTAATAATAGTCACAATAGTATTTTAAAAATATAAAATGTTTACAAATTTCTTGTTATCCGTTCCTGAGGATGTGGGGAGATTGAATTAATAAAAACAAATTTTGTACATTTACTACTGAAATGTAAGTCAAGTATATTTCTTCTAATTTTTAAATAGTATTGATTTACTATTTGAAATTTTATAACATACTTTTTGTTTGTTTATGTGTGTAAATATTTTCTCATCCACAGGAATCAATCTATTATATATGCAAGGAGGGCGCAAAAAGTATTTATACAGTGAATTAAAGAAGATATAAATGTTTAGCACATTTCTTTATCATTTATTATATATTTTATATATCTGTATTTCTTTGATTCATAATTGTATTTTAAAAAAAAATCTTTTTAATTATTTCACTCCCAAGCAAGGCAATAATGCCACTAAGACACAAGGGATTACTGGAAGTGAAAGAGAATGAGAAGACTTTAGAGAGGAGAAAGGACAATAAAAGAACAGAATTCAGGAAGTCAAAAGATGGTGAAGGTTGTATGTAGCAGGGAAGTAAGAAATCAGAGTTCCACAGGCAAGAAGTGTGAGAAACTATTAGAATAGTCTATGGTTACAGCTTGCTATTTCAATAGTAAAATGATCAGACCTACTTGTCAAACTAGTAGTATGTTTAAATTCATGCAGTTGAAGTACTAAGGAAGAGAGCTCATTAGAACAATTGCCATGAAAATATTTATAGAAAAGTGTGGGAAGCCTACTTTCATACCTACTTTTGCACCTATTTCTCTCTCTCCCTCTCATATATATATATATATATATATATATATATATATAATGAATTTATTTTTAATGCAACATTTTTATTACTTCAGATGTTATAACAAGTGTCCCCTATAATGTCTGAAGATATATATACACACATACTTGTTCAGTAAATATATTAGTATTACTGCAAGCACTGACTGTATCAACACCTCAACTTGCATTTGTGAGGAGCTTTTGAAGGGGCCAGCTTATTTCCATGCTGAATGTCGGTACTGTCACTCACAGCATATCCCCAACCCTCACCAGAGTACTACTTAACATTATAGTACACCTCCTGGTTGTGTCCTAATAATCAGGTCTGCAATTAGAAGAAGCATTCCTAGAGGGATAGTCACGTATCGTCTGTTATTGATTGGTGATTAGTCAACACTGGATATGCAGGTCTCGCTCAGCCATGCTCCCCACTTGTCTCTGTTTCAATCATTTATCATCTGAAAGTCATCACCACTCAATCAGATCTTGTGACTGAGATCCATTCTTTATTTCCAGTCTTCGCTTTATTGAAAATATACTTTCTCTGTTGGAATTCTTCTCTCTTGTTTTTTGAAAGACACTTTTGCACAGTGATTTGGCAGGGTGGGGGTGCAAAACTGTTCTTTTTTTAATTTATTTTATACTTGTAAAATCCTTTTAGTGAATGTTATGTAGATGCTTAATAGAAAGCAAGTTTTCTAGACATTGCCTTTTTGTTTGTTTTGTTACTTGTATATGAAATTAAGACAAATCTCTTTCAACAAGATGTAATTTGATAAATTGCTTCAAGAAATAATGTTAAAATATGGTCATTCTATTGCCAAAGTTATTTTACAGTAATTAAATACAATAGATTGATGACTAAAATTTGACATTAAAAAGACTTTTTAGTGATCTGGTCATTAAATTGAAAGGACAATTTTATCAATTACCATCCTCCTCTATTTCTTTGCGTCTTTAATTTCCATTTCTGGAGACAGACGGACACACACAGACATAGCAAAAGAGATTGCTATTCCTGTCTTGTCTTGTGATTTGCTGTGTGGTGTAGCCATGACAACTGGCACTGTGGGTATGGCCCAAAATGAATGCTACCTCTCTTAGTAATTAGGTGTTGCGCTTCTGTAAGGGTAGAGGTTATGCTCATATTGTAAAAATGTTGGCATTTTTTAAATATTTTTATCTGTTTGGTTATGCTTGCAATATTAGACTTAACAGAATATTTTTTTGTATTCTATCCACAACTGCAAATGATACTTATAAAAACATTTACCATATTTAACTGGTTTATATATTCTTTACATAATAGTCTGTTCAACATGAAGTTCAACCAGTCTGCTTAAAGCTTGATATTTTTACTATTTTTGTGAAAATGACAATATTTTGAACTGATAAATATGTAATTTATTTTGTTTACTAGTTTGACAGTGTTGTCAAAAATGATGGTAATTTTTTTTTTTTGAAGAGGTTAAAAAAAATCATGCATTTTCATACACAAATAAATATTTTGGTGAAGGTAAAAATTATTCAAAAAAATTCAGGTGTTGTACTATGCATGAAGTTGGTTTATACACAAGTATATAAAGTATCCAATCATTAACTGAAAGAGTACTTTCCAGTCATATGCAAATTAAGGGTAAAATTGCAAAAATTGAAGAAACCTAAAATAAATGCACAACTTGCAATATAAACTCTATAGAAACTCCATTTGCAGACAATGCTGTTAAGAACAAATATAAAACTTTGGAACTACCCAAGAATTCTAAGTGGAACACTTTATGGTAAGCACCAGTGGCAATAGCAAATCATCACAAGAGAAGAAAAGCAGGAAAAAATAAAGTAGATGACAGGCAAAATTCTTAGTCTAATGAAAGAAAGACAACAGATGACACCAAAAAATGGCACAGAATATATGAGGTTAAACAAAACCATCAGAAATGCAAGCAAGCAAAAGATGAATGACTCAATAATGTGCTGAGATCAATGCAAACTACAAAACAAATGCAGCAGGCACACATGAAAAAAATAAATAGCAAGACAGAAAATATGCTCTTTCGAAGGAAGTATAAAATCTAACAAGCGAACAATCATAATGGAAAAAGAAAAGATATTACAGAGATGGAATGACTCTATCAAATAGCTCTTCTATGGCAAAAGAAGAGAGAAACCTATACTACATAAAAGCATGGAAGGGACTTATAGTATTAATATCTAGGTTAGATCGGCACCAGCCAAGATAAACAACAATAAAATATCAGGATCAAATGAATTTGTGCTGACAGTCTTAAACGATTTAGAGATGGTTACCAAAATGGTAAATGGTATAAATGACAGTGGCAACATACCAGAATATTCTTGTAGATCTGTCTTCATAACATTAGCAATAAAATCAGATACAAATAGATGCAATTTCTGTCAGATAATCAGCATGATGGGCCTCCGGACTAAACTAAATCATTCTAATGAATGTCTTGTAAAAGAAATAGAGCAAGAACAGTGCCTTCATTCACAACAATGAAACAAGCAGTAAAAATACAGAAAGATTTATACCCATGTCTCATAGATTACACAAAGTCATTTGGTAGGGTATGACACAAGGATTTCCTTGAAATACTAAAAAATTTTGATTTACATGGAAAAGATATTCAAGTAATCCATAACTTCTCCTGGAGCCAAACACTTTGCATGCCAATAGAGAATGAGTTTAGTGAATGAACAAAAATTGAAAGTGGATTATAGCAAGCCTATGAATTTTGGATTCATTTACCTAATATAGAGAGACAATTCTAAAGTGACAAGAAGACCTATCAGGATTTATTTTTGGCTGACACAACCATAATGTACACTGTACAGATGACACTATTTTGAAGGTAAATTCAGAAAGAATACTGAAAGCACTATTAAACAAAGTAGTCAAGGAAAGTAAGAAGAAAGGACTCACCACAAATAATATGGAATACATGGTTGTCAGCAAAAGAGACAGCCCAAATTGATAGTTATATATTGGAGATGTCAAAATCAAATGAGTGCAGAAATTTTAAAGAAAACATTGCTAATAATCAGAAAGAGACAGCTGAAATTCAGTGCATATGTGCAAATACGAAGTTTTGCTGATGTAATAGTGCTTAAAAAAAAAAAAAGACTTTCCATTTTTTGTCACATACAGACATCAGGTAGATAGAATTAACTCATAGGAATAATAAAAAATAAAACTGCCATTTTTTTTTTTTTTTTATCATATGATTTGGTAAGCCAATTAGATTACATTACTTGAGGGTGGACTTAATTCTAAAGATCTCCATGTATTCAGATGCAGTGTCATGGTAAAGCCAGTTAGCAGGTGCTGCAGAGATTTACAGTCAGTTACTATGAAAAAGTATCCAGAAAATAGTCAAATTCTGAATACTTACTGAAAGTACCTAAACCTAGACCAGTAATACCAGTTGTTAGCTTATATATTCCAACAAAGAATCAGTCATGTAAATATTAACATTTTGTTAATTGTTGCCAAGTGAATCAATTCTTGGTGAAGATACATATGTGTGATACCAATCGAGATTTTTATCCTGTGATTCTGCGAGCTACCAGTTGCTGTGTGACCCATTTCAACCAGTACCTCTTTATACTTAAGTAATCATGTTGGGTGGAAAGACCTTCATTGTATGAAATCTGCAGTAGTGCTACACCAATATATTTCAGTGAAATTTTCACTTGCCAAAATTAGGGTTTTGATATATAGAAAACACATCAATTTAAACTGATGACAGTTTGTTTTGTAAATAAAAATAAAATTGTTTGTCATTAGCTATTGCACAATAATTGATGTGCCATAAAAAAAAATTAATTTTTACATTCATGTGTTTGTTTTGTTTGTTAATTTTTTTTATTTTTTTTTTATTTGATTTGTGATTATAAGGTTTCTGCTTTCAAGTTTTGTTTCCTATTTACTTTTTTCTTTTCTACTTTTTATCAGTCTCTTATTTAGTTTACTCTTTTGTTTACTTGCAGATTCTCAGATCCGCAAACCTATCTGGTCACCTGTTAAAACTAAAGGTCATGATTCTTCCAAACCCAAAGACATTCTGAGTGACACAGATGGAAACACAAAAGATCGAGCAATGTCCACGCCAAATATGGAATATTCATCAGATGGTTACAGAGGGCGTAGAACAAGAGCAATGCAG